CCCAACTTTGACCCTCGTTGTCCTCCAACCTCGTCCTTATTGTTCTCCAGCCTTGACCCTCGTCCCTAATTCTTGACCCTCATTGTTCTCCAACTTTGACCTTCGTTGTCCCCAACCCTTGATCTCATTCTTCTCCCATCTTGACCCTTGTTGTCCTCCAACCTTGACCCTCGTCACCCCCACTCTTGACTTTGTTGTCCTCCACCCTTGACCTCGTTGCCACCCTCCATCCTCGTTGGTCTCCAACCTTGACCCTCGTCACCCCCACTCTTGACTTTGTTGTCCTCCACCCTTGACCTCGTTGCCACCCTCCATCCTCGTTGGTCTCCAACCTTGACCCTCATTGTCCTCCAACCTTGACCCTCGTCACCCCAACTCTTGACTTTGTTGTCCTCCAACCTTGACCTCGTTGCCAACCTTCATCCTCGTTGGTCTCCAACCTTGACCCTCATTGTCCTCCAACCTTGACCCTCGTTCTCCAACCTTGACCCTCACTGTTCTCCAACCTTCACCCTCATTGTCCACCAACCTTGACCCTCATCGCCCCAACCCTTGACCTTGTTGTCCTCCAACCTTGATCCTCATCGCCCCAACCGTTGATCCTTGTTGTCCTCCAACCTTGACCCTCGTTCTCCAACCTTGACCCTCACTGTTTTCCAACCTTCACCCTCGTTTCCTCCAACCTTCACCCCCATTGTCCTCCAACCTTGACCCTCGTCACCCCAACCCTTGACCTCGTTGTCCTCCAACCTTGACCTCGTTGTCGCCAACCTTCATCCTCATTGTTCTCCAACCTTCACCCTCATTGTCCACCAACCTTGACCCTCATCGCCCCAACCCTTGACCTCGTTGTCCTCCAACCTTGACCCTCACTGTTCTCCAACCTTCATCCTGATTGTTCTCCAACCTTCACCCTCATTGTCCTCCAACCTTGACCATCGTCACCCCAACCCTTGACCTCGTTGTCCTCCAACCTTGACCCTCGTTACCCCCAACCTTGGCCACGGAGCAAACCCCCAGAGCAGGTGTCCAACCCGTCCACCCGTCCTCTCCTAACGCCCCACCTCGTCCCGTTAGCACCATCACGCCCGTGGTGGGCAAGAAACGGAAGCGCAACGCCTCCTCCGACAACTCCGACGCCGAGGTGATGCCGGCGCAGTCGCCGCGGGAGGAAGAAGAAACCAGCGTCCAGGTACGGAGACGGCGCCGGTGGAGATCCGTGCCGGTTGGAGGTCCGTTTCGGCCCGAGGTGGCACGGTCCCGTCTCCTTTCCTCTTCCAGAAGCGACGATCGAATCGGCAGGTCAAACGGAAGAAATACACCGAAGATTTGGACATCAAGATCACCGATGATGAGGAGGATGAAGAGTTGGACGTAACGGGACCGATTCGACCGGAGCAACCGCCGGTTCCTCAACCCCCCGTCCCGGAACCGGAGCCGGAGGGCGAGACGTTGCCCTCCATGCAGTTTTTTGTGGTGGGTGACCTTCATTTCATCTCCTTGGACGCCCTTCGTGGCGTCCACCACCATCTTCATCGTCTTTCTCCATCCTTTGCCACCGTCGTTTGGTTTTTTTTTCTCTTTCCCGCTTCCAGGAAAACCCCAGCGAGGAGGACGCGGCCATCGTGGATAAGGTCCTCTCCATGAGGGTGGTGAAGAAAGAGGTGAGGAACCCTCGCGGGCGGTGGCGGCGGGGAGGTGGTTTTTTTGCCGGCGTTTTGCCGACGTTGACTTCCCGCCTGGTTCTCCTGCAGCTTCCGTCGGGGCAGTTGACGGAGTCGGAAGAGTTTTTCGTCAAATACAAGAACTAGTAGGTGGTCGGATGAGGAGGGATGGGTGTGGGGTGACTTCTGCCGCCCACCGGCGGGCTTCTCGTTTGGCCACCACGTTGGGTTGAGGGCTACAAAGCTTGGGGGTGAGCCCGACGCCTCGCTGAGGCCTCGTTGGCTCTTGAAAAAGCGTTTTCTTGCACCGATTTTGCTCGAAAACGGCTTTTCTGACCCCAATTAGCTTCGCCGGGGTGGTGGTGGGGACACTTCCGTGTGGAACGTGACGTTGTGTCCACCTCCCCAGCTCCTACCTCCACTGCGAGTGGGCCACCATCGACCAACTGGAGAAGGACAAGAGGATCCACCAAAAGCTGAAGCGTTTCAAGACGAAGATGACTCAGATGCGACATTTTTTCCACGAGGTGCTGGTTTTGGGGGGAAAAAAAGGGATTTCGGGGAAGATCTTTGGGGGGGGAGGCGGTTCGGGGAGACCGCTCACCACCTCCATCTTCTCCAAAGGATGAAGAACCTTTTAACCCCGACTACGTAGAGGTGGACCGCATCTTGGACGAGTCCCACAGCGTCGACAAAGACAACGGGGAGGTGAGGACGGGACGGTGGTGGACCCCCCATCCCCAAAAACCGACGTTCCTCGTGGTCGACACCCGGGGGGTTTTTTTGGTGGTGTGTCCTCACTTCTTGGTCGCAGCCGGTGGTCTACTACCTGGTGAAGTGGTGCTCCTTACCCTACGAGGACAGCACTTGGGAGCTCAAGGAGGACGTAGACGAGGGGAAAATCGGGGAATTCAAACGTATCCAAGCCCGACACCCGGAACTCAAGCGTTTGGTGAGCGACCGGGTCTTCTCCCACCTCTCCGCCTCTTCGGCGGTCTCCGATGTCTTCTCCATCCCCTGCTTTTCTCCTTCCAGGCTCGTCCTCAAGCCGGTTCCTGGAAGAAACTGGAGCTCTCCCACGAGTACAAGAACCACAACCAGCTTCGCGAATACCAACTGGAAGGGGTCAACTGGTTGCTCTTCAACTGGTACAACAGGCCAGTGGTGGGACGGGGTGGGGTGGGGACAACCAGAGGACGTTGCCACCGCTTCCAGCCGCCAACCGGTTGCCTCTTCCCACCTCCCCGCAGGCAGAACTGCATCCTGGCCGACGAGATGGGTTTGGGCAAGACCATCCAATCCATCGCTTTCCTACAAGAGGTCTACAACGTCGGTATTCGCGGTCCTTTCTTGGTCATCGCCCCGCTCTCCACCATCACCAACTGGGAACGAGAGTTCAACACCTGGACGGAGATGAACAGCATCGTCTACCACGGCAGTTTGGCTTCTCGGCAGATGATCCAACAGTACGAGATGTACTGCAAGGACTCGCGGGTAAGGGGTGGCTTTGGGTCTTCTCGATCTCAGGACGTACCCAAGAACCCATCTCCGAGTTTTGGATGAGGTTGGAGCCATCTTCTTAACCTTCATCCACGCCCCAGGGTCGTCTCATCCCCGGAGCCTACAAATTTGACGCGCTCATCACCACCTTCGAGATGATCCTCTCCGACTGCCCCGAGCTGCGAGAGATCGAGTGGCGTTGTGTCATCATCGACGAGGCCCACCGCTTGAAGAACCGCAACTGCAAATTGCTCGACAGCCTCAAGCACATGGACCTGGTGAGAGGTGGGGTGGGCGTGGAGAAGGGGACGGAGGACGGGGAGACCCCAATTCCTCCCTCAGAGTGGGGTCCTGACGGTGCGTGTGGGGTCCTGGTGGCATCTGGAGACGTTTGGGCTCATCCCGAGCCCCCGGGGGATGGTCCTGAAGGTGCGTGTGGGGTCCTGGTAGCATCTGGAGAGGTTTGGGCTTATACCGAGCCCCCCGG